GGGGGGGGGGGGAATCGTTATTTCATCTATCTCTGATATTTTAAGATGTGCAATAAATCTTGTATTTTTAATATTCAATGTATTTTGAAAATATTTGGAAATCCATACTTTTCTAACTACCTAAAGAACAAAGAAAAGTCTGAATTCATTCTCTGTTATTACCGCAGGGGCTTGCTGAGTTTGCTTCAGCCCTGTTCAAATACTTCAGCCACATCAAAACAATTCCTGGAAAATATTCTCAAATATTTTACTTCCCTTTCCTCTGTTTAACATAAAAAAGGCACAGTACACATTTATAGTTCTAGTCACACTGGACAATATTTAAATACTGAGTTTTAATGAGATGCTTACTTTAGAAATTGACTCTTGGCCGTACTTGGATCACCAACAACACAAACATTGATGTCCCCACGCAATGATGTGCCTTCTGAAGTGGTCTTAGGAACTCCTCCAAAAAGCATCAGCAGGACCCCACGTTTCACTTCATCGTTACCTGCCCCAGAAAAGACACTCAACTAAAAATCCAAAGAAAACACCACAATTTTCCTGTCTAAAAAAAAAAAAATTCAGCCCACTAGAATTTGAGAACATTTGGGCACATCTGCTCAGAATTTACCTATTTGCTAAACATCACTAAAACTGCGTTTATGTGCTTGATACAGTTTCAGGTAAGAATAACTTGGAAAGTGGCTGAATTTCCTTATGCTCCAGTGGCTCAGAATATGGACCAAATTCAGCTGATCAAACTTTTCGGACATAACCATCATAAGTCCTCAAACTAGCTCTGAGCCAGAAACAATTGCAAACATGCACATGCATGCAAAACCAACACACACATGCACACACAACAACATACAAATACTTGGAACCCTCGAATTTTTTGAAGGAAGCCCATATAGAGCTTATATCCAACTGTCAGCTGTAGGGTTTTATAGTATATCACTCAACAGCAAAACCAACCATTTTGACTAGTCTTGCAGGCCTTAATGATTAAACACAGCAAGTACTCCTTTTCTAGCATAACCAGTGCTGCAGGGGAGAGTTTGTGGTAGTCAGCATAGGGCTTCCAAGGTTTCCCAAAACGGCATTACATGGACAGCGAAAAGAATGAATATTTTAACAAGTGAAATCTTCCCGCTCTGAGGCAACAACTGGACTCTTACCATGGATAGTTGGGAAGAGGCTGGTGCACAGATTATGGTAAAGGTTCTTATCTTGGCTCATTTCAAAAACCTTTTCCCACTCTTTCACAGACATTTGGTTTTTAATGCTTTCTGCAGTTTGTTCTTCATCTCGGAGCTCTTTTCCACCAAACTAAACAAAGGAAATAAAAAAAAAAGTAATAAAAGCAGTAACATGGTCACTACTGAATATGAGTACTGCAGACAGGAGGTTACAAAAACTTGCTCTGTAACCTGAATCAGATGAACACATCCAGAAAAGCTGACCTTAGACTAAGGAAGCCATCCTAGTTTCGGCTGGGATAGAGTTAATTTTCTGCTTAGTAGCTGGTACAGTGTGTTTTGGATTTAGTGTGAGAATAGTGTTGATAACATGCTGATGTTTTAGTTGTTGCTAAGTAGCACTTACCCTAAGTCAAGGATTTTTCAGTTTCCCATGCTCTGCCAGCAAGCAGGTATACAAGAAGCTGAGAGGGAGCACAGCCAGGACAGCTGACTCAAGCTAGCCAAAGGGATATTCCATACCATAAGAGATATTGCATACCATAGAGCATCATGCTCAGTATATAAACTGGGGGGAGTTGGCTGGGAGGGGTTGATTGCTGCTGGGGCATCAGTCAGCACGTAGTGAGCAACTGGACTGTGTATCACTTGTCTTTTCTTGGTTTGTTTGCTTGTTTTAATATTCCTTTTCATTACTTTTATTATTATTGTTAGTATTATATTTTATTTTCCTTTAGTTATTAAACTGTTCTTATCTCAACCCACAAGTTGTTTTTTTTTTTCTGGGAGGGGGAAGGAGTGAGTGAGCAGCTGTGTGGTGCTTAGTTGCTGGCTGGGGCTAAACCACAACAGAAGCTCATGACCTTATGCCTTTAAAAACCAATAGACAATTTCCTAGGAAAAACCGATGGAGTGTAACTTCAGTTAGTGAGAAAAGCCTAGCAGAGATGCTTGTCCAGAGATTAAAGAGAGTAAACCTCTTTGGCGAAAACCAGTTCCTTTGACTAACATTTGCCTTTGTAAGCATTCTTCACTAACTGGAATTTACAAGGTCTTTCATTACTCTGGAATAAGGCAGGAAACTTCTACACCCAGAAAATAACAGATGCTATTTTTATCCTTTGTGATGGTGAAGCCGCTAGCAGAATTATAGATTAAAATATCACACCACGCTAAAACCCGGCCATAGTCAGTATTACTTATTATGTTGTAGTAAGATCCCAAGATATTATGTGATAAACTAGAGGGAACAAGAAGGATTGCCATTTTCCCTATGACAAAATGAAGCCATACGGTTTCCTGGAGGAAAAGGAAATGCTGCAGAAATGGATGAAAGCTGAATGGAAATAAATGGACCAGTTAGCTCTTTAGAATAAATTGATAACATCGGCAAATAATCGTATCTGTGAAAACTGCTATGAACAACAAAGTCAAGAAAATAACCTCACTATATAAATCCAACCACACTATACAGACAAACGCACAGGAAGGTGGTACACATACATTTAAAGCTTTATCCATTCCCACTCCCTAATTTGAGGTAAAACCATACAGAGCAGAAATCAACACCATTAAATCTATTTTCTTTCCAGACTCACCCGTGGATTTGTTGGTGCAACGTAACAAGCTAGAAAAACAAGCTTATATGACAGCTCTCTGACTCCAAGGGCGCGAAGTCCTCGGATGCCTTCAGTTTCATAGCCCTCTGTCCCACTCACCCGGGAGCCGGTTTCTGCACGCACCCCTGCCATTAGAGTGGGAGTCAGAACAGCAGTTCCCAGAACAAGCAGGAGGGACATGTCATCGAGGTCATGAGCAGTAGCAACAAACCTGGTGTTGAGAGCTGGGACACATCAGGCACGACAATCAGTGAGCCTGTGAAGTCACATTTGTCGCCTGCCTGAGCAGACTCCACTGCTTCTGCACGCAAGATCACTTCCACGCTGCGAGGAATGCTACCACGCGGCAGCTCAGACTGCGTCTCCTGAATACGAGCCTGGGGAGGCAGAGAATATTAAGTGCTTAGTGGATGTCACCAAATTTGAAACTGCTTCAAAAGCTAAGCTGCTAATAAATAGTAGCATTTAATTGCTGCCATCCATGTCAACCATGAAATTCCTCTTTCAATGAGACAAACAACCAAAAATCACTTCACTAATCAGTATCTAAGGAGTCTTGGAGAAACATAAGAGGAGACACAGGGACCACAATGACAGTTCCAAGGGCTAGGCAAAGCAACTTAAAGAGTCCAGTTAACGTGACTGACGCAAAACATTGTTGTAGGATGTGAAGTGCTGAGGATCTGGCAGAGTAAATCAATCCAGAAGAGCAAAACACTGCAGATATTAAAAGACACCTCTTTTCATATTCATATAAAACAACCACACATGATGTACCTGCAACACGAAATTAGCAATGGCTTGAATATGTGGGTTTTCAGTGGCTTACTTCGACAATAAATGTCATGCAATATAACTGCTTTGATACTATTCACAATTTCCCATACTTAAACATAAGCCTTCCATAGACAGAAAAAAACCTATTTGTAGAAATTCCAGTGTCTTTTCTTGAGGTCCTCTCTTGATGTTGAAAGAACCAAAATTAACTGTCTTCAATGTCTATCAGTGCAAACAACACCTTTCAACTACCACAGGAACACCACTGTCGTTGTCCACCAACCTCACCACTGTACCTTTTGGAAATCAACAAATCTTGATTTGTTTGTGTCCAGAAGGAATCTCCTTCTGTTGGCACAGACTGGGTTTCTGCAGATGTTTGGCTGCGTGTATTTAAATTGCTGTTCCACATCTTTAATCACTGTCTGGCAGTCAAGGCACAGGAAGGTTCCACTTACAAGCTCAGGATGGACTGGGTGGGTACGTACCACCTGTCCACTGATACGCATCAGTGAGCCAATTTTTGCTGAAGTCAGTTCTCGAATTCTGTTTAAAACACAAATTCAAAAGGATTAAATTCTTGAGTTGACATTTTTACGCCCAGGGTACTACCCAGGTACTGAGATGCAACATAGTTTCATTCAGTCGGTGACTAAAGAACAGTTGTAACAGACAAAAGAAACAAAGTTACTACATTATATTCTGATTTTATGACTTTACATAAACTTTAGATTAATACTAATGGTCAAATCAATGCAAAAGTTATTTCACTGCTACTTCAAAAGCAACATACTCTAAATAATTTTTTTTTAATTAGAGAAGTTACATTTGTTTGTGGAATATGATGAATGTAAGTATCCAAGTATGATTTGCAAATGAAAAACTGTTTCAAAAAAATATCCTGCACAGGATCAGGAAACTTCTTCACAATTGTATTGGTCAACTGTACCTTTCATGCTATATAACCAAAACATTTTCAGTATGCTCTGACACTATTTTTTCAGTAGTAAAATGCACAAGTTTCTGGAAATGATGATCATCTTACTTATGTCTGGTAGGCAGATCCTGAAATGCAACATAAAAGTCCTTGTTTGAAGGAACATTTCCATGGTCTTTGGCAAAAGTCTTCACTGCTCGGCAGAGGTAAGGGTAAACCCTGAAACATGGAAAATAAGTTCAAATGTTATAGAAGCTATCAAAATGCCTTCTTTGCTTTAGACTACATCAAAGACTTGTAGCATACCTTTCCAGGTTCTGCCTTTTACTGCCACATTATGTAAGAACACTCAAAAGGTAATCTAAAATGAGATTATGCACAATAATGCTATTTGCTTTATTGTCTAAAACCAGACTTTTTAAAGTCTCATTTTACGATACTTTTATCCTTATATTAAGAAGTAGATCCTCAAAATGAGCCACTGGCTCAATAAAATATTTTCTGAGCAAGAAGTTCTACAGTTTATTCTGTATTCCTGTACTGACCATCTACTTCTTTACCAGAATAAATCCAATTGCATAGTTAACTAATGGTTTCCAGGGAGGAATCTATTAAGAAATGTTTTGATCCAGTAAAAAAAGAAAAAATTCTTAAATGTAAGTGTTTTCAGGATACAGAAAGCAGATAAATCTCTTGTTTTTTACATAACACATAACACGTTACGGGCCTTAGACTGCAGCATTGCTCAGCTCTCAGGTAACCTCTATACTTTACCTGTAAAATTCCTCTTGAATAGTGGTAGAGAGCTGCTGATTGAACTGCTCCAAATCCGCAAAGCTTACGATCAACGTGTTCCGCTCTGGCCGAATCAGTTCTTCAGCATCACGCAAGTATTTGACCTCCCCATCACTGTTCTGGAACCTGAAAGCGATTCAGGAAAACGTTTCACAGTTACCTATCAGGCTGCAATGGAATACTTCTGAATTCAGGAGAGATAGAGAAGAAAAGGATCGCACACCTTAAGGAGCGTGCAAGAGAATGACAGCATCCCACAGTCCCTTGCAAACATCTTTTCCAACAACATTTGTCCTTCCGCCCCCCTCGCTACACCCCTTCTATGAACACCCCAGCACAGATGCACTGGATCTGCATTTCATA